GGATTATGCTGAGGTTGAGAGTGCAGACCCAGGTAACTCTGCACAAAGTCTCTTGGGGTCATGTAATGCTCCCCATCTTCCTCCACACTGGCATACTGCAGAGGAGACACAGGCAGAGCTGCTTAAAGTCTGAATGTTCAATAGATCAGAAGTCAGCAAATATGGATTCACTTTAGTAAGTGGTAGGGTTAGGGTATATTTCCAATTGTGTGCATAGAACAAATGAACACAATGAGAGAGACAAACAACCAGCAGGTTATCATTCAAAGGTTTCAGTCAATTTGAATCTCTTATCTGTGTGACAATAGTGTGTTTGTGTGCAGGTTTCTCCTCCTACATATGTTACACAGTTGCTCTGCAATACATGTCAACATGACAAATGTATTGAAAAGCATCAGTTTAATATCAGGTTACTGTCATCTTTTGACTTCTTGTAGGGCAGAAATACATGTCTCACTGCACTGGATACCACCACATACACAATAATATTTAAAAAAATAAATAATATCAGATGCTTAAATAACCATGTCCTACAACCATTGTCATGATTAGAGTCTTTTGTTGACACTGGAAGAGTGTTTCAGCGTTTATTTATATAGGGTAGTAAGTACTGTACTGGAGCCAGGCTCTTAACTTGAGGGACGCAGTGTTCACATTCACACATTCATAACATGGAAGCTGCCCAGTACAGTCTGCTGGCCACTGAGCAGCTCCACTGGACCATTTTTAGGTCTTGAAGAAGGGCACCTCTGGGATGATCAGAACAGGGGTAAGACCTTGAGTGTAAGATCACAAGCGCACTTCTCTCAGCTTTAATCCAACACTACCAAGATCAGGATGATACATGCATCAAACGGTCTACATGCAGAGATTTATGATTAACTAATCGTTTGTAGATACTGGAAGCAAATGAGAAAGTTTTTTTTTTTTTTTTGCCTTTTTAGTGATTTGAATGTGTGCAAAATCAAGGTACTCAACTTAATTGAAACGTGTTTCTAATATTTGTTTCACCAAGTGGCATGAAACAACCAGGGGCCGTGACTACAGTGTGAAAAGAACTACTAACTATAAAAGGAAAATAAATACACTGTACAGTACCCTTCATTTTTTCACAGGCACAGTCACAATCATTTCATTCAATGTTTCTAACATGGAGATTAAGGTTCATGTGAGGGCTTATATTGGTAATGTACAATTCCTAAGATTATTATAATACATTTGACTTTTTTTTTCATAATTTGTTGTAGGTTTGAGTCTACGTCATGACCGTTCGATGCATGTCTACCTCACTCTCTCTTCTCCATATTTCCCTGTGTTCAGCTTCCAATTGGAAGTATAACACATAGTTGTAGCTGTTCCAGTGGGGTACTTAACAGACTACATATATCAAAAGAGGAACCTAAGACTTAATCAATATAACCATCACACTTGAAAGTGCAATGTTGCGACTGTGTGTCCCTTGACTGAAGCGAAATATGCCACAGCAGCACTCTGCTAAACCTGAGACCTATGTTAGGCTTTGAGACGTAAGGTCATTTTTAGAGGCCGGGTTGGGTTTCAAGCTGGAACAGAGATAGCTCAGGAAACACAAGCGCCACATGAACTGGCAACAGAAAGGCCACGCTTGTGGATCTGAGCCAAGCTTGGGTACAGCAGGCGAGAGATAAACAGAAAGAGAGTGTGGGAGGAGACCTTTCACACCAAGTGTTTTCAGGGCGACAATTCAATGCACTCTGCCGAATTAATGTTTTAAGTGAAAATATTAATTCCAAGCAATTTATTGCCACATTACTCCAGCACATGATTGTGTATCCATTCACCCTCACAGTAGGCATCGAGTAGTTCTTAATCAAATTGTACAGGCAGTCAGAACGAGCTTCCAGTAATTAACTCTTCCACCTGAATATGCATTACAAATTACTCAGCTCTCTTATGGCAGAGTCAAGAGGGACCTGTGGAGGGACCCTCAGGCGACTTGTACCTCAGACTTGCTTTTTTGTCTGGGAAACAAGTTTATACTCCAAACAAGTCCTGTAGGGGTAAACAAACCTGCACACTAATGCCTGGGATTTGTTTTTGATTTTTATGTTGAAGGGTAAAGCGGACAGGGGATAATGAGAATTTTCAATGTCAGGTTAAAGATTCAAACATGTCAAACACACATTAAGTCAAAACTCAAGAGAGTTGCTCTGCTGAAGCTGATCCAGAATTAGTCGAAGCATTTGTGTGACCTTTATTGAACTATTTTATCCCAACGGACACCACACACAGACACTAACTTCGACATGTTAATGCACTTGTAGCACATCATTCCTGTATGTATTTATGTTTTGCTATGTTGGTTTATGGCAACAAATGTTTATGAGTGACATTCTTCTTACCTTTAAGAAAATATTCTTCAAGTCATGGGGGTCCGCTCTTTTTGTTGCTTGCACCTATGACACACAAAATAGTTTGCTGTGAAAATAAAGTTCGTCCAGATTATCAAGCTGGCACATTTCCGACAGTAAATCATGAAACTGAAGTTCACACTGTGTGCTTAGCTTTGAATTACACGCAGTAACGACCACATTCAAATAAGATGCATGTGGAAATAAACGCGACTTCGAGTCAACTATCACTGAATTTGCACATGCAAAAGAGGAAAGAGACCACAGTTGTCTGCGAGGCCGGCAGAGATGCGCCTATGCACGGATGCAGAAATAAAAAGAGTGGTGGTCTCTACGCCGCGTTTAAGACAAGAGCTGTGTACCCATGCGTCCGCACAGACATGCTGCCCATCGAGTCCGGCAGCGGAAAGCTCTCAGCCGCTTTAAAAATTAATATATGATAAGAAATATTGACGGAGTCACCTTGACCGCCATGCTGGGTGTGACGTCAGCTGCAGTGGACTAGCGCAGGCGCTGGGTTTCAGGATGACAGCAGGCATGACAGGACACACACCAATATATATTTAGCAGAGAGTCGTCCCATACTGACTGTCCTCGGAGGAGTCACCGGGAGAGAGGAGGGATGCTCCGGACAGAAAAGACTCTCCAGATGTGTTACAGCATTTCCTGTCTGCTCGGGTCAACCTAGGACACATTTCACTCATTGTGCCTGCAGAGATGCAGACTATGAAAAGTAAATGCTCTATTAACATTCACTTAATGACACTCTGATCGTCAATGAAAATAAAATTACACTAAGAATGTGAATACACCAGGAAGACAGAAGACACATAGAACAATTGCTCCTGCTTTAAAAAAAGAAAAAGTAAGAAAAGAAAGCTTGTCAATATTTTTGTAATGTTTTATTTTTTTTCATGATACTATTCTAAACTTTCATAACTTTTTTGAATTAACATAAAATACTTTGTCTGATTCCCTGTTTTGTTGGCATCAAAGTGACATGTTAGCATTCATGGTCAAAGATATATCTTGTTAAAACATGGTATTCTGACAAACATATATTCCTTATATAGGCTCTATACTGTAGCCTATGATAAATAAATGCATTTTGAATAAACTGAGAAATTGTGAGTTTCCCCCCAACAAGTTGCCATCCTCTGGATTGAAGCCATTCACAGGGTTGGGTCAATTGCAATACATAACTTCTTATTCAATTATTTTCTGAACAATATGTAATTTATAGTCATGTTTGGGTATTTAGCAGATGGATATTAGCCTATTATATTTATAAATTTGGTGGGTCTAATCCAAGTAGTTTCTGAATAATTTAGAGGAACAAACTGTTGCAAAGACTAATTTTCAGTAGAATTTCGAATTGCTTGAAATAATTATGTAGAATGACGTATCTTCGAAAAAGGAAAATTAATGTGGCCTACTTAAATGGCTTGCTTTAATCATTAAGAAATTCTCATTAGTATAAAATATCATATGCCATTATTATTCTCTGCATATAAAACAAAATGTCACTGATACATAATTCAGACAAAAGCTCTTTAATTTGTCAGAAAGTCAGAGGATAAAGGGAGAGGCTTGTCTCCATCAAAACTGTTTTCCACTTCAACATTGTATTTTCTTCCTCTGTTGAGGGATGTTCTTATTGCCTATATATTTTCTTTAAAAAGTTTGCAGTTCAGAGATCAAGCAGCATGTATTGCCTCCATGCAGACACAATGTGTTGCTTTAGGATTGTAAAGGTATGGTATTGTTTAGAAAAGGGATAATCTAGTGCTGACAGTGTAGTGGAGGTAAAATTACAGTGGTTTAAACATCACTGGGTAGGTCATTCATTGGTGCACCTGCAGGACAGAATAGCTGAGGCTGGGATGATAGCATAGCATTAGGCAGGCGCAGGGGGATGTTCAGAATTGCACATGCACATGTGTTCTGTTTCTTTAATTGAGCTGTAAATCTTACTACTTTCTGAATTATTCACTAACATATCCAAATGAACCAATGCGTTGTTTGTGCCACATTTCTAGAACAACAATGTACTGCTTGTATGGTAGGTGTTGTTTTACTTTTTTTTATTGGGCCACACTTGATTTGTTTTGGTTTGAGAATTTTGAAAAATTAGCATTTCTGCATAACTCAACAAATCACCGAGGAGAAACTGAGTTTTCCATAAATGTTACTTGTATCAACAAACCATAATATAAAAGGATGTTAAATGTATCGTATAGTATTTTAGGTAACAAACTTAATTGTAGGTTATCTTTACTATATATTTACTTACAATTATAACTTTTCATTTATTGAGTTATGACCCTTGTCTTTAACTTTAGTTGAATATTCCCTAAACATAGCACAACTGATGCATGATATTCTGTTTTTAAAAACCTTTAAACAAACATTATTAAGAAATGTTTTTTTGTCTTTGAAATATAAATTGTCGAAGCACTCTTAAATATCAATTATGCTGTTTTGTTTCGTTTTACTGTCCATTTGTACCTTGTAATTCCCTGTTTTAAAAAGATGTTTTATTTAATTATAGATTTGGTTAAATCAATGACCAGACCGGAGGTTGCCGCTTGGCCGTTACCGTTGAAAAAAACTACTTCCTGTTTCTACACGGACCCGGAAGTTGTCCCGATTCCGCGGGTCTTTTGGGACAACACAGCTCCGCACAACACTGTGCAGAAATGGCGGGTAAGTGGCCAAGCGCTTCAAAGCTCCTATTCTCCTGTCTTCGTTTGAATGCAGATCTATCGACACACTATCACTGATGTTGGTCCAAATCGTCTGAAGTTGTTTATTCTCTCTCCACTTGTTCGAAATATGTCGAGCTAAGCTAGCTGTAGCTGTGTGGGCCTGTCTGCTAACCTTAGTGAAGCTAACGGGCTGTCATACAGTGTTTGTGTGTTTATGTAACGTGAATGTGTGACTCGATTTAATGGAGTATCACTGAATATTTACGTCCTCTTTACCACAGAACAGTGTAAATGACTGAGCTTACAGTTTCTAAAACCTCAGTAAATAGAAACCTCTACATTACAGTTAGTAGTCCACGTTGTAATATATTTTAATCAGAGTGAATAAAGTTCTTAATTGTAATGTATTGGTAATACATTTTAACAGAACAGAACAAAACTGTCTTTGATTTTGCACATGATTGTGACGGTACTGAAACATTGAATGTAAGCTTGAGCTGCGTGTGCTTGTTGATAGTATCATATGGATCAGGGGTGGGCAACTGGCGGCCCGGGGGCCACATGCGGCCCCCATAAACCCTCAAAGTGGCCCCCATGTCAATTTTTACATATCAATTAATTTGAAACATGAAGAAAAACATGACAAAATCTGCCATGAAATCATGAAAACCAGAAATATGTCCATAATAATATTTGATCACTGGTATATGTTGAGTTAAATTTGAGACATAATTGACTGTAATTGTTTTTGTATACTACAATTTGGCCCTCTGGCAGTGAGAAATAAATTAATGTGGCCCTTGCTGTGACCAAAGTTGCCCATCCCTGATATGGATAGTCTCCAATATCGAAGAAAACAGGGTTTTATTTTCTGATAGTGCCTTCAGAATGGTTTCCTCAAGCTGCTGCTAATATTGGACTGAAGTGATTGTGTAAAATAATTACATTGGTGTGCTTATAACCTTTACAGCAGCAACTATTCATTAAGACTGAATGAAGATGGAAATGAGGAATGGGTCTTTAAGAGCATATCATTTCAGGAATTGTTAACATTTCAGTAAGGTTTATTTCTTTCCTCAGAAGTAAATACGATGGAGAAGAAACTGGCTGAATACAAGTGTGACACAAATGAAGCTTTATGCATGAAGCTGGGTATGTTTTTTATTATTATTATTATTATTATTGTTGCTTTCTTTATATGTTTTGCTAATGTATATTATTGGGTATATTTTCACCTTTTTATATTCTCTTAAATTGTGCGAATTTGCCTTCAAATCCTTTCAGTTCGCTTCCCTGAGGATGTTGAAGATGACGGCACCACATTCCACCCTGAGTACAGCCACCAACTCTTTGGAGATGAGTGAGTATTTTCTTTCCATCTTTCCACCTCTTCTCTTAAAAATAAAACAGCTTTTGTGCTGGAAATTTCTGTGAACAATGCAAAAGAAAGGATCATGAGTCAATCAATGTCTTTGTTTAGTTTAATCCTTCTTGCAAGTAGAAAGAAACCTTCATGCCTTTATAAGGATTGCAGATACAGGCGCAGTCAAATATCAAATACATTTTGTCATACATTTCAACACGTCGCACAACAGTGATGTCAAGGAAACTTCAAGTCTGAGTATCTTTGATATTTAGCTATTTGTGAGAAACCTTCATCCTTGGGTAAAGACAAAACAAGAATATTACGTATTAACTTATTGTAGCATTTCTCAAGCGAGCTGTGAGTAAAATGTGTCCTCGACAGTAAACAGAATTTTTCCATTACACTTTCCCAACAAAACAACAACAAACATCGAAATGATTGTTGTTGTTTTTTACACACAAGTCTTCCAATTATTATAGACTGCTCAGAAAAAGTCCTTGTCCTTGTTACTACTGGAAGCATCAGGTGGTACCTGAAGCCAAATCAGTTTGCACAGGTAGTCCAGCTCTTTAAGGATGGCTTATTTATACATGTGGTCACAACATAGATCAAATAAACATGGTTTGCTGTGTCTCCCAGCAAAGTCTAAAGAGCATAGAGGAGATACCAGGGGAGATTCAGGGGGGTTGTCTGGCTTTTGCCTCTCTACTGCACCAGTTGTCACCTTCATTTGCACCAAAGCTTGTTGAACTGATTCACAATCACTTGTGCTTCCTAAATGGACTGATTGATACCCATGAAGTTTAACTGATTCAGTTTTAATCTGTAATGATTCAGCGTTCCTTTAATGTTTTTTTTTTTTTTTTTTTTTATGATTTATTGTTGGGCTTTTTTGCCTTTTATTGGAGAGATAGGACAGTGGATAGAGATGGAAATCAGGGAGAGTGAGAGTAAGGAATGACATGCGGGAAAGGAGCCACAGGTTGGATTCGCACCTGGGCCGCCCGCATTGAGGACTACAGCCTCCATACACTAACCACTGCGCCCCTTCCTTTAATGTTTTTGAGCAGTGTATTTACACCTGTTATTTACGAGCTGAAACCAATCCTGATATTGACCTTTATGCAAACATATCTGAACTAAAGGTGCAGATCTGCCTCACCCAAAGGAACAGTGGTGGTGAAAATGCTTTTTGTGACCTGATAAAATCAAAGTGTTCAGTCTAAGAATTCATGCAGGAGTTAAGTAGAAATTTCTTCTTGCAGGTTTTCAAATGAGTTTGGTCACTAGTCAAGTAAAGGCAATCATGTTAGGTTCAATGGCCACATAAAATGTACGTTGAACATGTGAAAAAGTCTAAAAATAATGATAAAATATCATTGCATTCAGGGACCTGATCGGGGCTCTACAATAACTTGTAACTGAGGGTGCACCGATAGATCAGCATGTGACCGGCCGGTTTTCAGCCTGCTTGGCCCTGACTAGTGACCGGCCTGTCCTAACGATTATAGCCAATGTTGTGCCGATCAGACTCACACACGAGCCATTACATGCCACGCGCACAGCGACACAAACACTTAAATGATATAATCAGAATGTATGGGCGCGTTATTAGTACGTTTAGCCTGATTTGATAAGTAGCCTATCACTTTGCAGGAAATATTATAGATTCATATTCGTAATTAACGGATAGAAACATGATTAAAACTCTTTGCAAACACAAATAGAAACAGTGAAAAGACAGTGTCAGGCAGACTGGCTCAGAATAATCTCAATCAATAGGTAGTTGTCTATGTTAATAGTCCTGCATTGGACACTTGACTTTTAATGTGTTTGTATGATGTTGTGTGTATTAGCCATGCATCTACTTTGTGGTTTTGATTTCTGTTATTTCGATGTTTTTTATTATTTTATTTGCCACTGATGTACGCAGGTCTCTCTTGAAAAAGAGATTACAAAATCTCAATGAGACTACCTGGTGGAACAAAGGTAGAATAAAAAATAAAATAAAAAACTGTTACATAGTCTACTGAATAGAGAATACATGTACGAGGCCAAATTGTCTGATTATACCTAAAGTTAAAACTCCTGTTACAAACATCTGCATGAATGAATAGGATTTAAATACAAATACAGAAATAATCATTGTGTGTCGGAAGGTCTTGTTGGCTTTTGTAGGTCACATAGAGGCATAGCATTAGCATGTACAAAAAGTGAATTTCAGGCCCTGATGATTTGAAGTAAAGTTGCAATGTTGAGTAACTGGGCTCAGCTGTTCATGAAGAAGTTCATCCACAACTCTGAAGCTCATTTTGAGAAGTAAATGTGTTTCAGAAGTGTCGTCAGGTGTATCTATGACTTTGGATTCTTCAAGCTGAAGGTCTTTATTCTAAGCTAGACTAACATGTCCTAAATAAACCTGTTTTGGATGATGATAGATGAGATGGCTTTTGATATTTCACTCCTTTTTAAACAGGAAATATGTGTATTTTCCAAAATCTTGAAACACACTGAGTTGCTCATGAACCATATGAATGATGATCTGTAATCTTTTATTCAAACAAGGAAAAATGATACTTGCCTGGAAAAGAAAATGCTAGCACTACAAAAAGCAAAGGATTTGAGACAGTCACCTTATGGCTGGAGAATGATTTATCTGTTCCCTTCTCATCCAATAGAATGTTAACTGAGAAACTGTGCCATCAAAATTATCATTACAGATTTTTTGTTTTAACCTGTTTCTCATTTGTAGTCATGTCATAGTTGGTTCAGATGTTTTTTTTAAATCCCACTCTTAAAGATACAAAGTCCCTTTTTTTGGTCATTTAGTAGCCACATTCAAAACGTCAGAAATACAAGGGTTAATGAAAAAAAAAAAAATCTTTTTTTCATGTCGCTTTAAAAAGCTGCACAGAGTCATATTATTAACCAAATGTGATGCAGAACGAGGTTTTGCTATCGAGCCTGAGCATGCAACAGTATTGGCCATGACACCTGTGTCTGTGTGTAGGCCTAACTAGCAGGTTGTTAGGCTCCAAATTGCTTTTCCCAATTAGTCAAAACTAGGATTGGTTATTTTTGCACTTGCTGCAATCAACTCAAAGGGAACTCAGTAATTGGGACATTAATTATTTCAGCAAGCATAATTGCTGGTAAAGCTCAATCACACAGTTGCATAATGATGAAATCTATTTTTCCATAAACTGTCAGTAGTGTTGTGGTGTAAGAAACAATACAACACGGTGCAGTAAGTGGCCAGACCTACTGCAATCCTTTATTATTCACCCCAGGTGTATATTTATTAAACTCAATTAAAAGGAATAATCAGTCATTTGTTATTTTCCCCATGATATGATTTTATCTTCCAATGTACACACCAAATAAAACAGCTGCTGTATTGTTGTGAGTTTGCAATTTCACCTGTATTTTCTTTTCAAAAAGCTTTACTGCTGCGTTCTTGTTTCTTTTTATTTTTTCTTCAGTGAAGTCGCTTTTGGATACAAAGGTCTTCAGATACAACTCTTCTACACTGCAGGAAACCTGAGCACTCTCTTCAAAGTGAAATACTCCTCAAAAGTCACTGAGATGTTTGATTGTGTAGAGGTAAGAAATGCTTTTCTAAATCCCTTTTTAGTAGGAATATCTAGCAACCTGAAATATGACTTTAAGTGTTCTCACAGGACTGTTTACTATACTTTGAGCATTTTTCTTGAATTATTAGACTGTTGAATATTGCTCTTCCAGTGAATGCAGTATGCTTTAAACATACACAAGAATCAAGGTGATATGAACTTATTTTAAAATCTCCATCTCTATATCAATCTCAATTGTCACTCATAATCCAGTCAAAGTGTGTGGTGGTGTCTTTATCTGAACACACCCTGGCCTCTGGCTGTATGTTCTAGTTTGCTCTTGTCATGTTGCTTTGTTTGGGACAGTTCTGTGTGCCAGTCATTGTGCAGTACTATTGAGCTCACTGGAAACACTCTGCAGGTCAGTACTGAATGAAAACATAGGGACAGGACAGCATCACTATCTCCTCGTCTGTCGGGCTGTGTGATGTGGACCCAAAATCATATCTCTAGTTCTAGTCTCTAGTTTTCAGCTGAATGGGCGATACATGATATATATTTCAATATTTTTTTCTGTAAATTAATAAAAACAAAGTCAATTTTAAGTCAAATCCGCATGGGCCCCATTCCAAACGACACACAGGCACTTTTATTGACAGCCTGCTGCACAATGTCAACGTCTGGTACAGAAAGACCAGGAAGTCCCATATTAATACTAGGCTATACATTGTAGCGGACAGTTACATTTGCTCCACTTAATTTACCATGTAATCTGGTGTATAAGACCCACTTTTACTACCTATTTTTTCTTCTTAAAAGTTGACTGCGTCTTATACACCGATGTGACCAATATACCAGTACGTCATCATTACCGTGGGTGCAGCAGCCAACATCCCACACTGTGATCGAAAGACAATTCAACACTTTTTATTTTCTCTGAGACCTTCAAAAACAGAGTGCGATTTATATTCCGGATTTTATGGTAATCAATTATAAGAAAACTAAAGGCAACAAACAACGCCAGGTTGGATGTATGCTTTACCTTTAATACTAAACTCCTTTTTTTTGGTACAACATATAGCCTTATAAAACATACAACATTTGCTCGTTTTCTCACCATGGGGTACCATGGGGTACGTAGTCCTCATAAGCCCAGTACCATTAAGACATTCATATTACAACCCAGAACGTACACCAGATACGTGTGTATTGCATGTTAGCTCTGCTCCGGTAACGACTCTGCGCTCTCTTGTCCGTCAACACCCAAAGACTGTGTTCTCAGAGTAGAACCCGTCAAATACTTCTCTTGACTCTTGAGTCCCAAGACCAAGGAGTTCCCACGGTTATTACAGAATCACGAGCGACAGCGCGTGATTATATGACGTATATGGTATGACACCCTTATAAACACAAACAAACAAACACACATAAGGTAATTGTTCCCAACTGTCAAGAAGGAAGTCTTTTATTTTGAAAATAAACCAGATGTTTTAGTGTTGTTTATGTGTCTGACTTCCTGTCCCGCTCGATCTGCTCTGTGCTAAATTGATGCGAGCTGCTCTGGCATCTGGCAAAAATAGAAGCTTTGCGTATCTGCTGCAGAGGGCTCGGGAGCTGAGGCGCAGCCAAGCCAGTGGAAGCAAACAAATCGACTGAAGTAGAAACCTATCAGCACCACTGCTGTGGAGTCCAAAATCCGATATGTAAATTATGTAAATATCGGACCTGATCCCGATATCAGATCGGATGTGTCCCATCTCTAGGTGAGACATGCAGACTGCAGGCGTAAGTGAGCCGCTGGTATCCTCTGTTCCTCTGTTGTGCTGGCAGAAAGTAGAGCGCTGTGAATTTTTCAAGATGGCGTACATGTCATGTACATGTTTTTTTTTTATTTTTTAGCTTAGCTTGTCTTTAAGAGGCATCAGTGAAATATCGTGGAGCAAAATTTCCTGTTTTTTCAATATTTCAAGAAAATACATTTAAATCACGCATTCAAACATTTTCATGCTATCAGCATCTCTAGTAATAATTTTAACGAGTATTATACTTAGACTTAGTGTGAATTAGTGTAAAACTAAAAGGCAAAGGTTAAAATGGAGCAGGATTATATGTGTTTACTCAACAGTACATCAATGTACTTTAAGGCATTATTGACTTAAATTAAATCAAACAGACAAATATCAGTCAGCTCTAATAAGAGGAGGCCTCCATCTTTGTATGAGAGTATGACTGCAATCAATAATTCTTTAAGGGCAATAAAGGCTTCTCTTTTGTGCACAAGTTCAGTTCCCTTAATGTTTCTTCTCTTACTAAAGTAACTCTGAGCCTCTCTGTGTGGTGTCATTATTCCTGTAAAAGATCCCCTGCTTTGTTAGACCTAATCTCAGCCCACCGTGGCCCCCTGTGCCGGTACACTAATCCTTCTCCTCCCTGTCGGAAGAGAGGGATTTTAAAAGGTTCTGTACGTGCGGTCTAACATGAGGTATTGATTTGAGAGGTTTATGTGATTGAATCAGCGGGAGGAGTAATGTGACACGGTTGGAAATTTTGTACATATTCTTTTCAGGGATGAATTGCTGCTCAAGTCATTCACAATCAGAAATGTTTGGGTTCAAAATCTTAATCCTTCATTTCAGTTTTAGTGTTGTTCCAGCAGTAGCACTATTTACTGTGTGCAAGTTTCTGCCTTTAGTAATTGCAGAAGATCCACATTTGCATATAAAGAGGCTGTATTTGGACAGTTCAACTTGTAGCACATTCTCTAAGACCGCACAAAAGGCTGCGACCGGCTTTGAATATTTCCTGGAGCTTTCAATGCATCGAACACGTTAAACGAACACAAGTATTAGCCAGGGCCTCTTCTGAGGTCAGATCATTGAACTCTGGGACATCTGTCCTATCCAGACACAGCAGGGGCTCCCTCATTGGACAATGTGGCCTTCAACTGGTGGTACTGGGAGCAGTGGGATCATTTGTAAACTCACCAGGAATTGGTGTTTCTGAGGATGTGCTCAGATTATAAATAAACCCTTTGACAGCGATGGCTTCTTCTAGTTTCACCTCTTCCATCCCTTCGCTCCAAAAGAAAAAAGAAAAGCGAAGCCATGGCAACCAATCCAGTGTTTTTAAACGTAAAGAGAGCCATTAGACTATTTTAGAAGATAGTTTGAAGCTGATATTCAAACTGAAATGTGATGGCTGCTGGCTTAGTGTCTGTGGGCCACTGCTTGGTGTGCAGTGTTGACCCCTGAGTGTTCACCTTGTTAAGGGTTTGAGTGCAGCTGGTGTAGAGGTAGAGAGCAGCAGAGTTCAGGCTACTCTCTGAAGGGTGTTTGTCTCTGAGTGCGTGTGGACGGTCGGGGTGCGGTGCAGCTGCTGAGAGAAGAGGGATAGAGACAGAGGGGAGGGGAGGCATAGATGGAGTTTATGCAGCTGCAATGTCAATACGAGACTGTCGTCATATAAAAATCTTTACTTTTTTTAATCAGACAAACTAAAATGCTGAATTTCTCTTAAAGAAAATGATTGATGTCTGAGCATGACTTTTTATACACGTGAGCTGGAAATGTTGCTTTTGTTATTTTTTCTCTCACCTTCAAAAGCGATATGGTTGTGTTTATGTGCTTTAACATTATATTTAAAGTTGATAATAAGTTCAAACTAAATCAGTGATTTGGATTTGTAAAAGGGTCTTCGCTGTAAATGAAACAGATGAAATAATGCCAGCACAACGAATTAGATAGTTTATACCCTCTTTGTGCTTATTGTTAGAAATCAAAGACATTAACAAAATGTTCTAAAGGTGCCTTGTTAAGTTACATTCATGACAAACTAAGGCATCTATTCTGGAAGGCTGTGCAATTTAGTGTCTAGTGTGCAGGAGAGTGGCCGGGATAAAGAGACGTGTTTGTCCATGGCCTTTTAAGTATGCTCCTTGTTCCTTAGAAATGTGGCTGAACAATTACAATGGTTAAGAGGCATTCAGCTGCAGGTGCATTACTTCCAGTTAGATATTAGCTGATGTCTGAAAGGGTGGGGAATTAGCAGCATGTTGTATTAGCCTTTTGTAGTGCATTTTGCTCAGACCTTCTTCATTTCCCCGTTTTCAATGCCGAGCAGCAAGGGTCTCTTTGCTGAAATAATGCCCATCACACATGTAAATGGTGTGAAAGGGCTGCTTAGCAAAGTGTTCTCATGTCAATCCTTGTGGAAATGGATACAATGCAAACATTACAGCTGAACTAACCACAGGTTGCACTGAGTAAAAAGTCCAAGGGTAGGGCCCCTTTGTCTCGTGGGCTCTTTGAAAAAAAATGCAAGGGCAAATTCATTTGATTGGGTTCACTTGGCGGGATTAGAGGAGAGGCCTCTATTATGGATGCTCAAAGGTTTGTTAAGTTGAGATCAATTCATAAGATTTAATTTCCCAGTGAGAAGCAGAAATGCGTTTTATTGTGGCAACTTCATCACATATTCATGGTTTAACATAAGTAGTAAATGTACTGATTTAAGTGGTCTTTTCACCGGAAAAGGGGGGGTGGCGGGTGGGGGGTGGGGGTTGCCGCTGTGGTTTCTGCTCAGCTGACAGTTTTAATTGCCTAATGGTTTTCTTTCATTGGCACAAAACATGTATGCTTCCAGTCCTAATTTCTAGATTTTTTTCTCTTTATTCACTCTCATACAGTCCTGTCGCTTTTAGAAACAGAACTTTGCAACTAACATAAAACCAGTTTTCAAAACAATTAATATTTCAGGATTTTTAATAATTAGAAAATTCAGAGCTGGTCATATTTATGCAAATATCTGCTCAAATGTTCTAGATCACTTTTTACATTACTAAATTTTTACACTGTATGTTGTTTAATTCAGTCTGACGATATTGAAGGGAAGATCCGGGAAATCGTTCCTGCTGGGTTCACCTGCAACACTGACGACTTCATCTCACTGCTGGAGAAGGAGGCCAATTTCAAGCCCTTCGGCACCCTGCTTCACACGTACACGGTCCACAGCGAGGAGGCTGGAGAACTCACTTACCAGATCCACAAGGTACAAACACACACTGCCTTAGCGGACAGGCTTTTTTAAAAAAAAACTTTTATTTCAGTTTTTAACTTGTTATTGCTTTTTTTTTTTTTTTTTTTAACTCTCTTGAGCTAAAGGAAGGCACAAGATACAACTTTAAACCATATCAGAATTGTATTTCTGCTGTATTTTTGCGACCCAGGCTGACATCACCTGCCCAGGATTCCAAGAGTACCACGAGCGCCTGCAGACCTTCCTTATGTGGTTCATAGAGACTGCCAGCTTCATCGATGCCGACGACGATCGCTGGGACTTCTTTCTTGTGTGAGTGCTTCTCTTAATTGACATCAACCCCCCCGCTCCTCCCTGCCCACCCCTAACCTAAAGCCTTTATTGTGTCATTGAAAAACAAAGCCCCCCTTTGTGGCGTTTGTGACCAATTACCAGGCCAGTTTGATTATATTTCTCCCCATAGGAGAATTGTTGATCAGGCAAGAGCTTCCTTTGTGGCCAAAGCCCTTTTCAGTTTTTTTCAGGGGCAAGAGCTGAATTGAATACTGTTGTCTTTTGAAACACTGAACAATGTCTTAACAGTAAAAAGAGCCTCTGCCAGTGTTTTCTTTACCCTGGCAACTATTAATACTGACAATGGGCAAAATGGACTGAAGTGATTTTGAGGAGCTCAGACCCTCCTCCAACCCCTTCTCTTCCTCTAAGTTGCAGTACTCCAATTAAGTACATAATGTATTCAGGTTGTAGCAGGTGTACCAATCGGGGCCTGGCTGCTCTAACGTGCTGACATCGGGGGGGTGAAGGGTGGGCACAAGAACAGAGGGGCGAAAATGGACACTGCATGGGAGTGTGCCTGTAATTGACCTGTTTGCCTTTTGTGTTTTATCTGCAGATTTGAAAAGTACAATAAGGATGGGGAGACTCTCTACGCAACTGTTGGCTACATGACAGTTTATAATTACTACGTGTACCCAGACAAAACCCGGCCACGTGTAAGGTAATTGCTGGGGCAGCGCGTGCCTTCCCATTCTTTTGTATGAAAAAAAAGGAGTGGAAAATTATACATTTCTTTATCCTCTTCCCAAAGAGCCCAAATTATGGGCTTATATAGCCAACCATTCATCCAGATTTTGTTTCATTACCAAACCAGGGTGATTCGTATCTGAAAACAACTTTAGAGATAAGCTTTTGATGTGGTTTGATTTGTTACACTGATGGATCTGGGGAACTATCTATTATTTCCTGCTTTGAAAAAAATTAGATTTTTTTTAGTTTCATCTCAGATGCCATGCAAATTATGATTATGACTAAGTTTGAACAACAGGTTTCTTTGTGTTTTTGCATCTATGTCTTCACTCTTCCTAAACAGCCAAATGTTGATCCTGCCTCCGTTCCAAGGAGAGGGTCACGGAGCTCAGCTTCTGGAGGCAGTTCACAGGTTTTACTGCAGCCTGCCCAAAGTTCAAGACATTACAGGTGAGCTTCTGAAGTACTTTAGTTTAATTATTTATATTTCCAGATATTATCTTTTCATTTAGGATCGATATGATGACCACAAATATAAGGACTTTTTTCTTAACAGTTGATCCATGGGGGCGAGGGGTTCATTTTAAGATCTGGTGTGAATACCAGAATGTGCTGCAGCTCTGTTGAAACTCTATGGATTGAAATTGTTGCTTTACAAGATGACAGAGGATGAATACTTCAGGTGGAATATAGCTGCTTACTGTACGTCATGCTTTAGGTAAAACTTAAGCAATCTTTCTTGAAGTAAATATTTGAGGAAGTTAAAAAAAGTGATATATGTCAGTTTTAGCAACAAAAAAAATTGTGGTCCCCAAATCCCTGCCTTGCTCCTTCCCCTGATTTAAAAAAACAAACTATGAGCTACATACCTCTAACTTGTTTTGATTATGTTTAATATATGTCTGATATTCCTGGTCTGTGTGTTGTTTTGTTCACAGCTGAAGACCCGTCCGAAAACTATGTGAAACTCAGAGACTACGTGCTGGTCAAGCTTTGTCAAGGCATGCCCTCCTTTGCAGAAGACAAGCTGCATCTGGGTTTCTCCCCTGACATGGTCAAAGAGTCGCAGGACAAGTTGAAAATAAACAAGGTGTTGTATGACTCTGTCATGTTCTGTGTTCAAATCAAAGCTTTGACTTTACAATTCAGAAAACTCTGAGATGACATTTTCATATTCCATGTTTATCAGCCAGAAGACCAAAATATTCCGAAACCTAAATGTAAAATATTGAGCTTGTTTGTGACCTGAGATTTGACTTTTTACAATTCAGAGGAGTGTGAAGTTAGCAAGCCTTCAGGGTAACAAAATAAAAATGTTTTACCAGGTCTGTTTCAGGAAGACGAAGCCTTCATTTTGTTTTATATAAAAGGAGTTCATAACAGAATTTCTTCAACGATATCATTGTGCTATAACCATGCCTGTTAAGGATTGTAAAAAAGGTTCTTTTATGTTTTTCTATGTACTCTATTTCTTCCACACGGAGTAACTTTCTGTTTTTGTTGGCATTTTGTGAAATAGGAAGTTAAAGTTCTAACTTCACTTTGTATACTAAAGTTGTCTCAAGTCATGTTCAAATCTCCAAACAATTTCAAACTCTCATCAGCATGATGTTTTGCTGTTTACACTTATTCTGTATGATGTGATTTGGTTTCATATAGCTGGTTATCAGAGTATGCTTGGCACACTTAGAAAAACAATAAGTACAATCCTCTCCCTTTATTTTTTTTTTCTTACAGAAACATGCAAGGCGAGTGTATGAAATCCTGCGTCTGAGAGCAACAGACATGAGTGATGAAGAGAAGGCGAGAGCGTACCGTCTGGAGGTGAAGAAGAGGTTATTTGGACCATATAGGGTGAGTTATAAAACGGCCTCTGAGCAGTTTGCCTTGCGTGTCTGTGTGGAGTGGGTCAAATGGTGGATGCAGAATGACATCCTGAGTGATTGATTTTCTTTTATTTATTCAGACATAAAAACTGAATGTCAGTCAACTTGTCTCTGTTGCTGTAAAACAAAAATGTCTTGTGTGCAGCCTTCTACCTTTTGTGAGCCTAACATTACAACTGTTCACTGCAGGAAGCAAAGTGGCCCATGTGTGGCACACACTTGATCGGCTTACAGCTCCACATTGTCACTGTTTATTATGTTACCTTTTTAAAACAGCAGAAAAAAAATTGATCTTCAGTTCAGTGAAAATTGATAGATAACTAGAAGCGTATTGTTGCAGTCACAATAGGGCGCACCAGGCGTCTGTGGTTTCTGCTGCTGCTGGAGCTTTTTTCTATTCAGACACATGTCATTGGACAGGATTTGCATTTCTTTGGGAGAAATAATTTTCATCAAAGTGTGTTTGAAGCACTTTGTCAAAAAAAAAAAAAAATCTGCTGCTATTCAGAGTTCTGTCGCTTTTCTGCTGCAGAACTTTTTTTAAATTCAACCCTTTTTATCTTCTGTTTTATATGCAAGTTTTGATTCAGTTTCAGTCTAACAATCCAAACCTCAGTGTGCAGAATATCATAAACTCCTCTGGATTGTGCTGTTCCAGACTCGACAGTGGGAAATACTGTGTTGATCTACATGCACAGACATAAAACCCTGCATCCTGTTTGCTCGTGACATTTAATGTTTGAGCCGCTCACTGAGACTTTACATACCATCCATTAGAGAATTCTCTGTCAGCAGGGTAACCACATGTCTGGAAAAAAAGGCATAATCTGACATGGAAAAGACCTATGTGGTGAGGCGGGAAGTAGGAATTCCTTGAGAGAGTGGCAGGGAAAGATCTGGTGGCCAGATGCAGAGTGGTTTTTCCTTCCCTCAGGAGATTTAGCATGTAGTTAGCTGAATGGCAGAAGCCTTGCTCTGCGAATGTTAGGGGGATTACGAGTTTCTGCTCTTACCCTCAATTCCCCAAGGACCATGTCTGCATTTATATGCGTGCAGGATTTTTTAAGCAGCTGATTGTAGTCGCCTAAGGGAACGAGAGTTTTGTTTGTCCATGTAAAAAAAAAAAAAAGTTTAAGCACTGTGATTTCATTGCACGATTGACGCTCTGCAATTCTCATATTACTGACAAATCCTCCAAAAGGGACAATGCCATCATATGGTACCTACTACAAAGTATTTCACATGTTGCCATAGCCTGATTTGGCTTAATCTTCTGTCTTATAGCCATTTAATGTCAAACATAAACAACTGTTAAAAACCCACATTTTCAGCCAGAGCCTCTAGGCAGAATGCACTTTATCCCTCTTTGACACCAGCTGATAAATGATTGCAATGGAAGACCTCTTTGGCTAATATTACTTCTCTATCTAAAGTAAATGCAAACAGGGTCATAGAAATGAAACATATGTGGGTCTGACACTTGAATGTGCATACCAAAATGAACAATATCATTTAATGTAACTTACTTGTGGCATTCATTTCTTGCTTTTTGAGCCACACAAATTCTATAATTAGCTAGAAAGGCAAACAAAGTAAAGAGGAGGACAGGCAAAAAAAGGTTGAACACAAAACAAATATATCTGACAGTACATTGAAATGAAATCCAGAGGCAGCGGTTCAGAAGTCACAGAATGTAAAAGTTCCAGGATATCCATTTTGATCCATACTAATATAGCTTATTAACTCTTTGATAATGATTTCCCCTTCAGACAGTACCTAAATGTTGATGACAAAACATACCTGGTTACTTAAAGATTCTGTTATGAGTTGTTAAGCGGGTTATGAAACATACTGAGACTAATACCGTTTCCTCTATATGAGCTACAAAGCAAATCAGACCGTCAGGAAGAAGATTGACTTTATCTATATTCTGATTATTAAACCTGCCGGCGACTTGATGTAAGAAAGTGTTTAACAGCAACAGATCAAAATCAACAGAATGTAAGTTCCTGTGTGTTTGGAGTAAGTGAGCAGACTGATTCATCTCACCTGTGTGTGTGTCTGTGCTGTCAATGTCATGCAGAAGAATCAGAGGGAGCTGGCAAAGATGAAGAAGTGCCTGCGGCCGGAGGAGCTGGTGTCCCACATGGGTCAGATGGACACTCAGACGCAGCACGAGGAGCTGGAGAAGAGCTATCAGGTTGCTTTGGAAGACTACAGGCGAATCATTGAGAGGCTTGCGTCGCAGGCCTGATCAGACTGTGAGCCCACCCCTCTCACCAGTACAGGTGGTCTGCTCTGTTTGTACAAAGTCCACATCACCACAGACTTCAGCTGCAGCTAAGAAGAAACTCTCCTGATGTAACAAAAATCACATTTTGAGTAGAAAAGTGTGTCAGATGTATTGTGGCTGAGACAGGTGTGTCAGTGACAGGTTCCTGTTCCCCAGCTGATGTTCACACGGTAGATGAGCATGTTGCAGCTGGAGGGTGAGACTTCTGTTTGTCCCACATGTTTCATCACTTTGTGTGAGATTTACTGATATGAAATACTTCACAAGGTGATAAGACGCTCCCACTGCCCCGCAGAGAAACCCTGCTTCTTTTCCATCATAGACATTTTTTTATGATCTTTGTCAAAACAATTCCCAGTGTGTGTTTTCAAGCACTTCATACAGACAATAAAACTTGGTTTTGTATATTGCTCAAATGGTTTGAGTTTCATTGTAGAGAAGAAAATAAAACGTCTCAGTCAGTTAGGTTTTCACTTGAGCATTCAAAAGCCTGTGTTTAATTTGGAAAAATACAAATGCTAAACAATAGAAAGATTTAAAAAATGTAAAAAAAGAAAAGCCAAGCAAACAAATATGAAATACAACATAAATTAAATACTAACACCTACATACAAATATGTAAACTTTACAAGCTACATTCCCTTTTACATGCTTATAGCTGGGATAGGAAACTTAGGCATAAACATACCTAACTTACTGCAGGACAAGTCAAAGAACCAGCACTGTGTAAAGGAGAGCAACCTGTCTTTGTTGCTGTTTACTTCATCTATCTTTTTCACCTGCCATCCTGTGCAGCTAGCTTGTAAGTTTTGGTGATGGAAAACTGCTAATGCTCAATAAGAGCCCCGAGGTGAGTATGTAGACCGTAAAAAGCAAAGCTAGGAGTGTACTGCTATCTTTGTAGTTTTCATAAAGTTGAATTCTTCTTTCTTCTTCAGTGGTGATGTTAGCATGTAGCTGTTCAGCAGGTGTAATGTTTCATACAGCATATAAACATACATAAATGACTGATTGGGATGTTCTCTGTTTTAAATGTATGTTTTTATTGGATTGTTAACTATTGGACACTAATGGGAATATTAATTTTACTGTATGATGGCGATAGATTTAAGGCCATTGGGATAAAACATTTTTTACGCTTAATCCCTGAGAACTTGTAACATCTACACCAAATGACAAGTGAATCTATACAGAAGGTCACAAACCATTCAAGCTAAAAAGTCATCCACATAATAGTGATCCAGGGAGAACATTTAGCTTGACTCTTTTTTATTTGGGGCACAGATTTCTGCACTGAATATCAGATTAATACATCCGATAGTTTAGTTATTTTTATTCTTATTTAAACCATATGTTGCAAAGTGGAGATGATGCTAGAGAAAAACCAAGATGATACAGAGTTGTTGGAATGCAAACTAAATAAACAAGGATTGTGTTAATGCTCTGATACTTCACTGTATACATACATATATAGAAAGGACATCATTGAAGAACAATTTTGCTTGTTGGGACTTTTAATGTCTGTACTACATTCCATGACAAACAACAAATAGTTGTTGGGATATTTTCGTGTCAGAGCCATGTATCATGCAACTGCTAACCCAGCCAAAAGTGATCAAATTGGACACAGCAGAACAGGAGATACTTTTATCCATGTCTTTTTTCATACTTGCCATGTGCCTACATATCCCACAATGCATTGTAGCCGCAAACAATTTGTTTAGAAGATTCGGTCGTGTATGCTAGTGTCGGCTGTTACAAGCATCCATCAGAGGTAAGGGGCTTCAGTGGTCTTACTTTAACCTCTTATTGATTTATTGAGCTGGTAGTCGTCGAGAATTTCCCTCTGGAGTGACAAAACGAATGTTTATTTGATCAATCCCCTCGTCTTTTCATCCCAAAACGTTTAAAAAGCGATTGATTTTTAGCAGATTCACTCTGGTATGTGAGTAAGTCTTAGTAGCTACTGCTGAAAATCTGTAACTGCCAACCAGTCTGCTCCAGAAAAGCCCGTGGTATATCAGAATCATTGAGAAGTTAACCACACATTAAGGGATTCTGGTAGAGGTTTGTTGTAGCCATCCTCTAGTTCCCCCCAGGGGGTCAGCCCTATTTTACCACAGTTCCCACATTTTTAGGATATTTTCAAAATTAAGTCTTGTGTTCCTACATTTACCTTCAATTTAAGCCTTCCTTAAAGTTTCCTCCATGAGCCTATGACGCCTCCAGAGGGCTGGAAAGTGACTCCAAGCATCCCAGGAGCTCCCCCTCTCTATGCCAACCCGGCTTTCCAGGTTTTGATGCACTGCAAACTATGGTTTGTGTCCAGTTGCTGCGCTTCATTCAACTGATCTGACCTGAAGCTAGTCAATGCGAGGCCTCTGGGCTACTTAGTTTAATTTGTTTATATAAAAGGACAATGTGCACTTACATTAAATGTTTGGGCGCACCAGATTTAACTAAAAGCTACATTCCATCTGTAGTCCATTGCTACTGGATAATAGGTTGGGTGTAATTGGCTACCAAATTGAGAGAAAGGGGGATAAAATCTGATACAAATTTATGGAAAAGGAAATGTGGGAACATTGGGCCTAATTTTGAAACAAATCTTAGAAATGTGGGAACAGGCACGCTCCCCTTCCCAGCATCACCTTCCATGATGTCAACAACAAATCTACGACAGTAGGCTAACTAGATTAATGAAATCATTAACTAAGTCTTAACTTCATTTAATCTAGGCCTGCAAAGTCACCCAGCACATATTTCAATAGCGCACATCATGCAATAGCTTTTCCTTAAACTCATTTAGATATGTTTTTCCAGTTCTTGGTTTTTCCATTGTAAATATTATATATAACTTTTTTTTCCATATAGAATGCAGAATTGAATCCCCCCCTCGTCCCTGCTTTTTTCTTTTCTCAATGAGGAAATTAGAATTATTGCTGAAAGTCATGATGTTGCATTAAAGATGTCATTTCATGCATTCATTTATTCTTCTTTAAGACAGAAAAATAGGCTGTATATTTTAAAAGACTGAAGGTACTTCCTACTTGTACAGCAGATTGTTCTACGCTTTACATGCAGTGTGGACAGTAGGGGATGAACTGATCAGATCACAGATCAGCTGTGATCCGTTTCACCACTAGTTACAAGCTATTCATGCTAGGTCCATGCTATAGATTGAAAAAATAACCTGACTAAAGTATTTTCCAATAGTTGGTTGATATATGAAACCATTGAAGGGATGTAATTCTGTCGATGGCTCTCCCCTCTTCAGGCTAATGCAACTTCTGATTGCTGCTGATGTTGAGTGTTACACTAATGAGTATTATGCTTTTCAATTGAAAACCTTTGTGCCACTGTACTGCCCCCGCTTATGTAGATCACTGTGATGAATACCCATCATACTTTATGATACTTTAGCACATTGTCACTAAATGAAGGCTGCCAGGTCAATTTTCAATTTTTCCCCCTCTCCACATGAAACAAGACAAAACCTTGGAACCCTTCACATCTCGAATTCTGATTGATTGAATCCACTCGTGGCCACAAGGGGCCTCATCTCACTGTAGTTTTTCTCTGCTTTTTTCTGCTGTGAGTGCACATTTTCACACTGCAGTGCACAAGCTCAGCCAACTGGCCCGCTAATGGGGGAAGTGGCATAATGGTTTAGTAGGCATGCGCTGTCTCATTAATTCCTTCTGTAATACATGTCTGTTTGATACATGTGGTGCACTATGATGACAGATAAAGTTGAGCGTGTGGACGATTTGCAGGCCTCTGTTTGGTTGCCAGGAGATGGTGAAACCCCCTTTTGCCCCCCTCAGACCACACAGTTGAGTTTACAGAAGTGTAATTATCCCCCACCCACTACACACACACACACACACTAAGTCTACCCTGGGCCCTCATGTCCCATTGCACCTGTCTGCAAATACACTGGCGTTAGACTACCTGAAAGATACAAATATTTGACCTTATTCCCCGTGTGCACGTCTTTCTGAGGTCAATCTAAAGGCACAAACTGAAACGCATTAGTCTTGTGACAAACACAGAAAGCTTACTGATAGTGAAGCTCCACATTAACCTCAGGGATATGAGAGGATTTTATCAACCCTCTCATGTTGTCTTTACCAAAATGTTGACTCCTAAACTTTAAAACCCTCTGAATGAATAAAAATCGCAAGCTTACCTGAAACTTCTTTCTACTATTCCTTATGTTGTTCCTCCTCAATAATCACACACCCTCGATTCAGTACAAACGGTTCACTCATGATTAGATCTTTGACAACTCAAATCAGTAAGAATTGATAAAAATGTATTTTGCAACAACTTTGTTGATCTATTATTTTTTTGAACATGTTAAGATACATTAATACAATAAGTTGGTAAAACAGTAAATATGTCTAAATGACTGAAAATATCTTCAGTAGAATAAATCACTTCAAGGTTTTGGAGAGTACATTTGTGTGTTAAAAGTGCTCTGTTTTCCAGTGCCTGTAGAAGTATGTATATTTTTAAAACTGTTCAAGTGTGCAGGTTTATATGTATGTATAAAAAGCTACATCAAGGCTGTGAAGTGAAATATATTCAGAGTGTCTATTTTGGCTTATTCCCCCCTTTCTGCAGTCGATCAGCCCATTCAACATGCGGTGAATTGAAATCCAAAGAAGGCGGCGCACTTTCTTCTGCAGTCGAAGCTATTACAGTGGTTCCAGCAGTGGGCCTTCAGTCGCTGGGCTTTTGTAGCACGGACCCAGTCTGTCTATTATGTTGTTTCAGAGTGGAGATGTGGGAGGTTGATTTATGTCTGAAACTGTCATCGGTTTCAATCTCCTCTCTCTCACTTTTCATTTTTCCACATGAAGAAAAAGGGGGAGAGAAACTTCCATTAATGTTCCCTCTCTCTTTTCCCTATCATGTCTGAGCACCGTGCAAAAATAATTGTTCTGTTAAAGCAGGCGGAGAGGATTAATGCCATTATTCTGTGAAGTGACAACAACAGTATCATGCTTGACTTGAATATTTAGTTTCACCTGTTGGCATTCCTGCTACTGTTACATTACGGCGCCTCCACATCTCTCCAGCGAGGCCAGACAGTCAGGGAGTTTTGGACCAGAGCCCAGCCACTGAGGGACCTGCTGAACACGATACCTGTGTGGAAGAGCTCCGACGTCTTAGCCGCTAGGTTCCCAGGAGAGAGAGAGAGCCAGGCAGAAAAGTAAGAGTCCTCCACCACCCCACCCTCCCACCATCACTGCTTTTCTTATCATGTTCCCCTTTTCTTTTGTGCTTCTTCATTACCCCCCGAGGCTCCTGAGCCCCCTCTTCAGCGTCAGTGAACCTGGCCCAGTCCCCTTTTCTCTGCTAAATGAGTTCTCTTTAAGATAATGTTTGATGTGCTGACAGC